TTACTCAATTTCTATAACCATTCTTCGTATGTTTTAGCCTCCAGCCCCCTAATCTTTCTTGTTGCTCTTCTCTGCACTCTTTCCAGAATCTTAACTTCTCTTTTATATTGTGGTGACCAGAACTGGATGCAGTGTGGTCTTACTAAGGCTTTGTAAAGCGGTACTAGAACGTCAACGTGATCTTGATTCTGTCCTTCTATTAATGCAGCCTAGAATTTCATTGGCTTTTTTGGCTGCTGGCAAATACTGTTGGCTCATAGTTAAGCAATTGTCTACTAGGACTCCAAGATACCCCTCACAATTACTGGCATAAAGCCAAGTTTCACCTAGCCTGTACTTACACAGTTGCTTTTTCTTGCCTAAGTGTAAAACCTTATTTTTATCTGTGTTGAATTTCATTTTTTTAGATAGGGGCCAGTGTTGAAGTCTGTCAGGATCTTTTTGGATCTTGAGCTTGACTTCTGGTGTGTTGGCTATTCCTGACAGCTTAGTGTCATCTGCAAATTTGATCAGATCCCCTTCTATTCCCTCATCTAGATCGTTTTATGTTAAGTAGATGCTTATCCACCTTAACATTTGGTAAAATGGAACCTGGATTGTGACATTATTGCACTGTATATTCTCCTGCCTCCTCACTGTCATCCAAGTTGTAGGGATTATATAACACAATGTCCTCACTTCAGGTGTTACTGCTATACTAGATGATACCAGAAATATGGGAGGGAAGAGAATTAGAGCAGTCCTGCTCTCAGCTCTGTAATGATTAGATCGTAAGTCTGGTTTAGCATCTTTCAAACTTCATTTTATATTCCTCTTGCAGAAGCTAGCTGCCATGAGCAGGCAGGATTAAAATTTATTAAATAAAAAAACAAGCTAATCTATTCCACATATTTAGGAAATTGTGGCTCATAGGGCTACATTGCAAGGCATCTATTTATCTTGCCTAACCAATATAATTATAACTCACAGTTGGCTTTTCTTTCACTAAATTTTGAGAACAAAATTTCTTTTCCAAGAGGACACTTCCCGTGATCAGTGATCAGGTAGACTCCAGAATAAGAGAGAGCATGTTCATCGAGACAAACGTGTTCATATTTTCCATCATACTTCTCTTTACAGTGGGATTTTGCAAAACTCATAGGAACCAAATTGCTGCTACATAATCATCCTTTGTACATTTTGCTAACAGATTTTTTTTCTGAATATCACCTTATGCTTGTGTTCATGTTTTAATATTAAAAGATAACAATTACAAAGTTCAAAACAAGTTACCGTATATATTTATTATTGAAGTTAGTATTTGTTCTCAACTTTTTGTTTTCTAAAATTAACCAATGTAGACACATTTAAAAAGCCTTAGCACAGGTATGCCTTTTAAATTTCAATCTGTATTGCCAGATATTGGGAGTTGTGGTAGAGCATGTTGATTTAGTTTATTGTATTCGACTGGGATAAATACGGAAAATGGGACTATTACTGTCTGTGCCTTTGAGTTGGGAGCAGCAAGGGGGGGTGATACGGAGAGGATGAAAGCAAATTTGCAGTTTTGCTGGAAAGCTCCAAGGCCTAGGCAAAATTGTGTTTATGGCGTTAGGACATTAGTAGAAAAGTAAATTGAGGCAATCTGATAGGGAAGCAAAATTCTGTCAATCAGGCTCAAGATACTATGCTGTGTCCATATGCTTTGTTTACTGTAGGGTTTTATGAGTTGTAACCTGCCCATGCAAGCTGTTAATGAGGCTAAATCTTGCTGCTAGAGGATTGAATTACAGCACACCTCTGGGCTAATGGTTATAAACAGAAAGTCCCATTAGGGCTGCTTTCTGATTCATCCATTTGCATTTTTCCTATTGTATCAAAAACAATGATGAGTAAATAGCTACAAACAAACAATTTACATGGAAATGGATAAAATGTGCCTAATTAGTATTTTGTGCTTGTTTTATTAATGATTGTTTAAGCTAAATAGAACTCTGTTGCAGGACTCTTTACAAGCAATGCCAACTGTGGCTTTCTTACCATACTTGGGGGGAGGGAAAGGAATCCTAGCACTGTTATTGGGGTCCTAAAGAAATTCATTCAAAGTATTTTAGGATGCAAGTTAATTGTAATTTTATTTACTACTTCAGCTTTTGGGGGATAATACTCACTGAAAACTCTAGCTATTTGTTATGCTCAAGATATATTTTCCTAGTGCATAGTTCTTTACCGTATAATTATCTGACATTTAATTTCTAGTTAAAATTTGTAATTTTTGTGGTTAGATGGTGCTGATCAGTTTTCCTGTTGCTTTACTGCAGTGACAAGATTGTCTGTTTCTCCTTTCCCGGCTCTTCTTTAGACCCACAACTCATCCTTTCCTACAATCCTGCTTTTGTGCTTGTCATGGTATTACATCATAACACTAACATACCGTATCTTTCCACAAGCACATACTATGACTTCTTCGATAATTAAGATCATATTTTTTTATAATTCTGAAGAAAACTGAAACTACAACAGAATGAAACAAATGTGTCTCCTTTTGAAATAAAAACACAAATATCCATAGTTACACTCTTGCTGATCTGAGGTACTGGTTAAATCCAAAACTTCTATTTCTTTATCACTCATTCTCCTTAGTTTTGGCTTTTTTAAGCAAAACTACATTGTATGTCATTGTTTTCTTGAGAGCATGATATTTCTACTATGTAAATTACACCAAAGAAACATGTAAATTTATTTATTCATTAGATTTATATGGCTGCCCAACTTACATACGATGACTTTGAGTACATGAATATTGTAGACATATGTATTAGTACACATTTGAATATTAATTCTTCATCTTCCAGGAATAACAGAGTGCATCATGCTAGGAATATGGGTGGATAGAAGAAACACAATTTTGTCAAGAAAGAAAACCTCTTGCATACTAAAACAGACAATTAAACACTGTAAAATTCACTGACAATAAGAATTAGTAAGAACTGAAATGGAAAATATTGTTACTAATGAGTTCTAGTGGTAGTAGCTAGCAAGAATTATTGGGGGAGATTTTATTTTAATAATTGGGTTAAATTGTTTGTGATCTAAGTTTTCAGTCGAACAATGTATGGGAAGTCTTTCATTTGTTCAAAAGGTTAACATGTATACTGCCATATTCTTGTTTGTATTACTTCATTTCTTCTTAATTGTAGAGCTATTTTGAATATAGCATTCAGTATGAAGAATACTTAAAAATGGAAAAATCATGGCAATCAACTAGGGCAGCCTGAGCCACATAATGAGACATTTTTTTTTACTTCTGTGTAGTGAACAGCCACAATGTAGGGAAGAAGCTCATTGCCTCATCTTTTTGCTTGGCAAGGATAAAGTCATCATTGCTCCCAGATTTTGAACTGAAATCACAAACAGCTCAATTCTCCACTCAGCTTTAGTAGCAGACTGTAGTTAAATACACAAACGTACAGATACAGACAGAGAATAAAATAATTTGGAAAATAAAGATTTCAGTTTAGTATATTTTCAGCTCCCTATAGTACTATTCAGATAGTAAGACCCTTAATTCTTAAGGCTTCTGTCATTCACACTCTTTCTTGGAGTTCCAATAAATTGAACAGCATTTAAGCAGAATTCTGTCTTTGAAAATCAGCTCAAAAGCTACAGCTGATCTGGAATGCAACAACTTATTATCCGAACACACTGTTGCAGTAAAATACTTATTTTGTAATCACTGCACTGGTATTTAATTCAAGAACACATTCAATGTGCTAGTTACTGCTTATAAAGCCTTACATAGAACAATGCTGGGCTGTATCTGGCACCATCTACTAGGGGAAAGAGAGGGAGGGAGGAAGAGAGGGAGGGAGAGAGAGAGAGAGAGAGAGAGAGAGAGAGAGAGAGAGAGAGAGAGAGATTACAAGCCAGGGTGTTAGTCAGAAGGCCGGCTTTCTCAGCCACGGCCCTGAAATTATGGAATATGCTGCGGCCCCCTGAGGTGTGCTCGGTCAGCCTGCTCATTGCATTCCAAAAGATGCTGAATGCTCAGCAAGCATTCATATTAATCCAATTGGAACTGGGTGCCCATTTAAGGTGGTTCTCATTTACTTTGACTAGGGGAGGGGGGAGGTACTGTATCAGGGGAATGTTTTAGTTTCACATTGATGATTGGCCTTATGTTAAAGTTTTTACTTTGAAAACAGTCTCAAGTCTATTCCAATGTGGGGTAAAGGAAATGCCTGAATAACACTTACATAGCATAAACCGGTTTTGTGTAAAATTCTCCATGCTACTTTTCAGGTTTCTTTCGAACTACTCTTGGATGAGATACATCATACACTTTTATTATTTGACTAAGTCATTATATCAGTGATGGTTGAAAGAGAATCAGCTTTGTTTATCTGACAAAGAAGAATGTTGTGCTATATAAATTTATCAAATTAATACACTTTTTATAAAACTTTTATTTAATTATTTTACTTAAAACTTTTTTTCCAAAAATAACATCATACTTAATTTTCCCAATTTTTATGTGCAAAGGAAATAATTCCTCCTTTCCAAAATAGAAAAACACTATGTATTTCAATTTTATTTCAAAAACAGAGTGTATTTTAATAGATAGTTGAGCCCCCTGAAGGAAATGGAGCTTCTTTCTGGTATTCTGGTAGAAACATAATCACAGGATTTTCATTTGTTATGTGAACTTTCTGAGATTAGCAAAAATAATTAAACATTTCATGCTAAATTGAAGCCATAAATTATGTCAGTCTCACATTTTATAGCTTTAAAGTAAACTGGTTCATTTTTTAAAAAACTGAAATTATTTCGGGGAAAGGGGGCTGATTCATGGATGGCTCTGAAAAGTGTGTTGTTGACATCCAGCTGATATGAAGCTTCCTGTGTATAATATGGGCCAAGCACCACCATGCTGTAAACCATTTACTATCATGATGATCAGATTGAGAATGAAATTGCATTTCGGTCAATTACTGAGCTGGCAACTGTTCAATATATCTTAGCAGCAAGATGAAGAGCGGCGTCGGCAGCTGAGAGAGAGAGCTCGTCAGCTAATAGCAGAAGCTCGATCTGGAGTGAAGATGTCAGAACTTTCTAGTTACAATGAAATGGCTGCAGAAAAGTTGAAAGAAAGGTCAAAGGCATCTGGAGGTGAGCTAAGGACTTTGTACCTTATTCCTATGGCAACCCAGAAATCTGAGGAAAATCTTTTTGGAATTTGATTTTATTCAGACGTCAGAGTAATTGTTGTTCACCAGGAAAACATGTCAATACATTTTATGCTGTATTTCCTAAGTTTGCACAATCAATACTCTTCTCCTATCTCTGCAGAATATAGTTACAATATTTGCATTTTCCCTATTGTTTTATGTGAGCATGTAGGAGGTATGTAGTAAAATGATCTTTAGAAAGAGTGTGTCAGTGACCCAAGCTTAGACCCAAACAGGTGTACTAATGATTTCACTTACCTGTTTAGCCCACTCTTTCCTGCTCAGCAAATCCCAAAATTCATCTTCACAATAAATTCCATTAGTTTACTATTAAATTTATGGTGATTAGTCCTCTTGAGGTTTCTCTAAAATGCAAAGCTTGGATATACATATTTAGCAAATAAGTATATAACATAATTTTAGGAAATAGTACTTTTAATATTTTAATGCAATAATGCTTTGTCCTAAATAGGAAATGAATTAGAGTCTTTTGCAGAGATGTAGATCTACGATTCTTTTGATAAGAATTTTGGAATGAAATAATAAAAAGTAGACGCAGTAGTTAATTTTAATTGTTTTCATACAGTGAATGGCTTGTCCAAAATATCTGAATTAATTGCAGGGACAAGATCATGCTTGACATAATACTAGCACAATTTCCAACAAATTGGACAATCAAAACTAAGCAATTATATGCACAAAATATTATTTGATTCTGATCAGACCATACCACATCAGTAACCTTGGATTGCCTTAATTCCCATCTCTTTTACAATGTTCAGTTCTGTTTCTTTTACAAATATCTGTGCTGATTTCATCCTGTGTTGTCTTTAGTCTTTTTAGTCTTTAGTATTTTTTCCTCTATATTTTTTTCACATAATTTTATAATGAATAGTTGCTGCCTTAACTTTTATGTGGCAATTTTATGCCACCAGTTAAATTGCTGAAAAAAGGCAAATATTTATTCCATTGTTCCTATCTCTGGATAAATCCTCACATTCATTGATTTTGTGAGCACACTCGGAGATAATCTTTTATGGGCATGATCATAAAATATCTTGTGAGTGTTTTCTATTTCATATTGCCCAGATTGTAAGTATCTCCATGAATTTTACTTTTCTTTTTTCTTAAATAAGGCATGCTTCAAAATAAAGCAACAACTGGATAACTTTTATGTACAACAGTACCTCACAGTATGACAGAGGTCCTCCTGGGATGTCAAAAACCGGAATGCCTTCTGACAAGTGGAAATTTTCAGATTGGTCATGATTACATGGCAGTCATATTCTGAATAAACAGCCGTTTTGTGAGAAGACCTTCCATATAGTTTCAGAATTCCAAATGTGCTTCTGGCCCAGCACAATAGGTTAAATTGACTTCTCATGTCTGATATAGTGAAGGCTTATTACATTGCACAGTTTTGAGCAAAATTTGTGACCCTTTTTTATTGGCAAGGAAAATAAGTGATATTTACTGATTCCTTCTCTCTGGAAACACCTCCCAAATTTATCTGCCCTAGAGAAGCCTCCAGTTTTCTGGAGCATATTTTCCTAAGGACCTAACAGCTGGAAGGAGAAGAGAGAATTGCTGAAAATTGCATTCTTCGTATTCTATTAAATGAAGGCTTCTATTAATTCAGGGGTGTCAAACTGCCAGCCCGCGAGCCGGTTTCATCATACCGGAGCCGCACCCACCCCATTGCCGGCAATGGCAAAAAAGCTCCAATACGTCGCGCGACGTCATGTGACATCGCAAGTTTGACATGTCTGTATTAATTCATTAATGTGTGCCCATCGCCATGAGCAGGGATACAGCCCTCCCAACAAATTTCTGGCTCTGGATAATCCCACTTTTCTCCCAAAGAAAGATGCTACAAAGATTAAGCAAAACCAGCTTTTGTCTGCACAGGAAAAGGCAGGGAGACATCTCATCCTGCCTATGTCTGCACAGAGAAAAGTACATCATGCAGGAGGAGCAAAGTTTGTCTTTCTTATCATGCATGGGCTGACTTTCTCCATAAAGGAGGGGGAAGGAACACGTTCCTCCTCTTTTCTTTCCAAAATTGAAATCAGGTGATACCACGGGCCACCGATTTCTACCAATGGGGCAAAGCTACTGTTCCTCAGTGCTTCTTTCCTGACATATTTCAGTTTGTAAGTCTATGTCTGAACTTGAACGTGATCTTCAAATTATTCAGTTCCCTGGCCTTGGCTTTAACCACATTTTTAGAGAAGCTGCCATAACCCAACAGATTTCCTGATGGTCCTAATTCAGCAGCATCTCATGCATTGCTTTTAAGTGGTTCAGTGAGTTAGTCAAGCAGTCCAAGAACAAGTAATGCATGGATCATCAGGGATAAGGAGGAACAAAGGGAGGTAGCACAAATGGATCAAGAACCAGGACGAAAAGATTTTTCTAGGATTTTCAGTCAATGCCTTTGCTTCCTAACAAGAAACAGTACATGTAATCAGAAGAAGACTGTCAGTGGGGCAGTTAGCAGTTTCCCTGGGTGGTGAGAGTCAACAAGAACTTTCCTAAGAAACAACGTCATATGTTTGCAGGGGGAAAAGCAACTAGGACATGATTAGAGAGAAAAAGGAAATGGAGCAGCTACAGAAATGAACAACTCAAGATCTTAAGTCTGATAGGGCTCTCAGGGCCACACTCCTGCTTTCATATATCCCAAGCAGCCAACCTAACACCCAAGTATTCAGTACAGAGTTTGAAGTCTTTCTTCATACAGCTATTACAAAAGGCTTCCCAATAATTCAGAATCCAAGGCAGCTGCATTTCAAACCTTCACATATGCAGCTTGATTGTGAGACGTAACCTCCCTGCGGACATTCACAGTTTATGCTCAGATGGTGGGGAAGGGTCTAGTCAGCACATACTGTGTCAGGAGCGTGGCTACTCAGCATGGCCTCACTCCTAGTTCATAAACTGCGACAACACATGAATTGACAAATGCTGTTCTTTTCTCTGTGTTGCTTCTTTGGCTAACCTTGTATTTGTTGCACGCTTCTTCAAATTGTAAGCCCCTACTTGGATGCCTATTATTGCAGGATGCAAACTATGCCAACAAAAATAATCAGAGCTGCCTGCATTATTCGGACTTCAAGGTTTTGTACAAATTTCTTTAAGCAAGGATCACCTTTTTTTTTTTCAAAGATGAAACCAGTACTGGAAAACTTTTTCTCTCTATAAATTTAGTTTCAAGACAACCCAGCTGATTGACAGATAAGACCTGAAGGTCAACTTTGTGTACTCATTAAGTTCCCAGATAATATTTTTGCTTACTAATAATAGTGAAGTGAGAATGCTGGCCAAAGTATATGATTTCAACAATAAGCTGTCAAATTTAATTGGTTATCCTATGATTACAAACATAAGAACTAGGCTCCTGGGTAAATAATATTCACCATCACCTGTATACTGTTTCCTAGGGTTAGTTCCCACTTAATCTATACCAATTGACATCAAAGTAATGTTGCACAGTATATAAAAGGGATTGGGGAAATCTCTTCATTAAAAAAAAATTACAGAATTGGAGTTACTTTTCTATGAGAAAACACTCTCATATGAGACCTTGCCAGCATAGAATGAACTAGACCCTAATCTTGGCAGGCAACAATATTTGGCTTTCCAGATATTTGCTAAGCATTCCCCACATTGGCCACATTTCCTAGGGATGCTCATCATAATTCAGCAATATTTGGTTGCATACCCACATCCTAGATTTTCCCTTCTTTATCTCTGCACTGTTCTCTAGTCCTAAAAAGAGTAGGTTCTTTAATGCTATGCTCATGTGTTTGCTCTATGGCAAACATGTGAGAAAAAATTAAACTCAAAGCCCACATAATAAAAGTTGGAACTATAGGTAGTCCTCAATTTACAACCACAGTTGAGACCAGAATTTCTGTCATAAGTCACTGTGGTTGTAAGCAGAGTCGGATCCCATTTTATGACAGTTTTTATAGTGGTCATTTACCAAATCCAACTTCCCAACTTCCCATTTATGCTAAGCACCTGAATTGCAATCACGTGTCTGCCGGGTTGGTGCAACAGTTGTAAGTACAGTTCATAAGTCACTTTTTTGCAAGGCAGTTGTAACTTTGAATTGTCATTAAACAAATAATCATAACTTGGAGACTACCTGTATTTCAGTGTCATTATTAAGTCCATGAGAGGGTGTTATCTCTCAAATACATCCTTTTTCATGCCTATTTCAAGGAGGTTTGGCAGTAGTTTGTATTCCTAAGCCTTCCAGTGTATTTTCTAATTATCACTGCTCTTCATTTGATATATCAAGTACATAGTCTGTCAGGATTCTTTAAGTCATCAGAGACTTCCCATACCAATTTTTTTAAAAAGCATTTGTCCAGTAAAGTCTTGTGATTGAAAGTCAGTTTGGTCTAGTGGTTAAGGCACCAGGCTAGAAAGCAGGAGTCCCATCTTAGCCATGAAAGCCACCTGGGTGACTTGGGGCCAGTCACTCTCTCTCAGCCCAACCAGTCTCACGGAGTTGCTATTGTAGGGAAAACAGGAGAAGGAAGGAAGGGCAGGAAATGTTCGCTGTCTTGAGTTATTTGTAAAAATAATAAAAGCGGGATACAAATCAAGCAATCAATAAAATTACAGCTCATGAAATCACAGCTAAGGATAAGACTGAGACACTAATGAGACATTGCAGTGTCAGCCATGTTTTCTTTTCACACGTCTATCTTTGTTTTTTACATCAGAAGGGGCACATAGTTATCTCACCTTCCTGACTTTCCTCACTTGAGGCACTTTTTTGCAAACCTCTCTGAAGACAGATTTGGAGGAGAAGAAAAGTTATTTATATTCTTCCTCTTCTCTGAATGTTCAAGGTAGCCTATGTGAGAATCCCCGCTAATTTTACCCCAACAGCAATCATTCTTTGAGTAAGGTTGCTGTGAAAGA